TCCCAACGAGGCCCCGCGGGGTCCTGGTGCATCCGGCCGGCTCCTCTGAAGCCTCCGCCTCTGGCGCTCCAGGGAGATGGCAACAGGGCTGGGTGGGGATTCCATAGGGCCAGGAGCAAGAGAGTGAGGAAGGAAGGGCAGAGGGTCCCTGTCGGGCGTCGAGCCTGAGCTATTGTCTCCCCTGAGCGTTCCCAGACTCGGTCGGGGGATTCTGCGAGGCTCTCAGGGAAGGCCGGCCGCGGGAGGCCGCTGGGTAGGGGCACAGAGGCCGGCTTGCTCTGCTGGGCAGCTTTCGCCCGCTCTAAGACAGTAATGTATCCAGATTCCGAAGTTTTGGGGGCTTGTGCGTGCGCCCAGTGTATGAGGTGGGGCGAGAGCTGCCTTGAAGAAGGGTCAGGAGTCTCTTTCCTGTGTTTTTCTTCTTCCTAGAGTATGGTTTCTCCAAGGCTGCTAAGCCTTAGAGTCTGGGTTTGAGGTGAGTGGGGCCCAGTGGAGAGGAGGAGAAGGGGAGCGGGGAGGGCAGCCGGCAGGCTGGGAGAAGAGCAGGCAGGCCGGGAAGGGAAGGGGCCAGTGCACCGAGGGGTGTGTGTGTGTGTGTGTGTGTGTGTGTGTGTGTGTGTTTATGATTGACAGCCGGTCCGAGGGGATATAAAAAGAAGAGGAGAAGGCCGCCTGTATTGGTTACTTGTTGAAATTCCCATAAAATTGAACAAGATTCTGTTCTCAGTGGGTTAAGTCAGGCTAAAATCCTCTCCGGTGTGGTCCTGCCGAGACTGTCTTTGTTTGGTTAACCTCTGAGACCCACATTTAAAAGGCCTATTTGGGAAATTTCACCGTCCAGGGAACCAACATCTTTTGCCCATTTCTGGGCTTCCCTTCTCCCCGGTGCTCCCGCCGCACACCGGCTCAGGAACACATAAAGCATGCATCACCCTACAAGCCACTGTTGTCTCATTGCTGTGGGAGGCCAGTGTGAGAGAGCAGCCTGGGGCCTTGCCTTTGACTGGCAGGCCCATGGGATTTTAATCTGCAGCCCTAGATTCTCGGAGGGAGGGGTTAATGTACGGGTTTATCTCTGTTCTCCAGATTAACCTGGTCAAATATTCAAATTCCCTCTTCCATCCCCACCATCTCCTCCCACCTTTCACCGCCTTCAGCAAGTCAATAAATTTTCATAATCTGCAACCAATACACTGTAAACCAGGCACACCACAAGTGGCATCCACAGGGCAGGCGCATTTCCCAGGGGAGTCCCAGCAGGGTCCTTCAGGTCCTGCCACCCAGGACCTCTATCATCAATGTGGGTCCATTTCCGGGGGGAGGCAAGGAAGGGGAGGAGGCTTCAACAGTTTGGTGACCCCTCCACTGGCGAATGTCCCTTTAGTGAAAGATCCTGGTAGCCAGCTCTGTCCCTCCCACCCCCTGCTCTTAACACTTGCCCAGCTGCAAACATCTCCCTACAGACACCCCAACATACAGAACATCTCTGATTCTGACATTTACTTTGGGACAAAAGTACAGCAAAATGAACTCAAGAAAAAAAAGGAAGGACAAAAGGAACTAGACACAGCTTCCTGACCAAGTTCCCCAAAGGTCACATGCCTTCTCTCAAAGCTAAGTCAGACTCTGAACGGGAGACCTGCAGTCTCCTGCACAGGGATCCCCATAGAGTCCAGGACACTTGCCACCATGCTCACAGCAGCCAGACAATTCTGAAGGTTCAGCTGCTGGCCAGGGAGTAAGACCCTGCTCCCTGCTCCCGCGAATAAGGTACCGGCTCTCACCAGCATCCGCTTTTCCCAGTGCCCTCAGACCTCCTGGCTTGGGGTCCCTGTTTGTGGGAGTGGCAGTGGCCGCCAGCCCTGGAGGCCTAGAAGCGATGCGCACAGTTAGCTGCGCTGGAGCGTGCTGCGTTACCTGAGAGGTCCTCGCGGGCGTTCTGGTGCAAGTAGCTCTGCTCCAGCGAGTAGGAGGACATGCTGGAGTGCAGGCCTGCGGAGGCTGCGGGGTTGCTGCTCGGCGTCAGGGCAGGCGGCTGCTTGAGGTAAGGCGAGGCGCCAGGCGAGCTCCAGTGCGCCGCAGGGCTCGTGTAGGGCGAGTGGCATTCGATGGCGCTCGCCATG